ATTCAGGTGGCTACCACTGGAAGGGATTGATACTAGTCTCATGGAGTGAATTATTATAAAAGAGCAAGACTGGCCACTTCCTGTTCTGGCTTCCTGTCTTGTCACGTGACTTCTCCCTCTCAGAAATATTCCCAACATGATACCATCTACCATGATATGATGTAGCTAAGGGGGCCTTCACCAGAGGGCAACATAACAGGGCTGCCTGATCTTGGACTTTCAATCTCCAAAACTAAAAAGCTAAATGAGCATCTTTTCTTTATAAAGCATCCAGATTCCAATATTTTGCTATAGCAATGGAAAACAAACTAAAACCTTTATGTATATATTCTTCCTTGGCTTCTCTTCATAGATGATAGTTGGGAGGATTTCCAAGCTCTGAGAATACTAAATCACTGTCTTCAAAGATAAGTGCCGAAAAAGAAAAGGGCAGACTTCTTGCTTTCCATCTTCCATTACAATTCACTTAGTTGGCAAGAGAAGTGGGAAGAAAAGGTAAGGGTAGTGTTAGCAATGGCTGCATCCCTCTCTCAGCCAGGCTTTCTCCTACAGCCTTGACTCTTGCTTTGTTCTATTAACCCTATGCTTGCAGGAATAGGGTGATGCCTGGGAATTGTAACGGCCTCCTCCTATCACTTTTCCCAAGATACAGTAGCATTCCTATTAGATTCCATTTGTAGTTTTATTTATTATCAAATTCCAACAAGTATATTCCTTCCATGGTTCATTTGATTCTAAAATTGACCTCATTAAATTTAGTCATGTGAGTCAGCTTTTCATCACAGAAACAAAATAACAAGGAAAAAAAAACAACCTTAAAGGAGGAAAGATTTATTGGTTCACACTTTCAGAGGTTTCAGACCATGATCTGCTTGCTCCACCACATTAGGCCTGGCAGAGCAAAGCTGCTCACCTGATGTCAGCGGGGAAGCAGGCCAGTGTGTGGGAGGGTGGTCCAGGGACAATATAACCTTCAAAGGCCTGCCCCCAGTAACTTACTTCCTCCAACTGGGTTCCACCTCCTGATAGCCCACTCTGTTGAGAAACTGACTCCATTTTTTAAAAAAAGCTTCTACCTCAAAGCCTGTCCAAGGAAGAGAGCGTGTCCCTTGTCCTTGGAAAAATCCACAGAGAGCTCCTGGGCACATACCCACCCTGCTGAGTTGTTTGTCTGCAAATAACAGGAGAGATCTGTGGCACCTGGTGTCCCTGACTCAGGCTAGGTGAGGACCCATAGCCATCCCCTAGCAACCACCAATCAGCATGAGACAGGGAAAATACCTGGGATGCCAGATGACCTCCCAGTAGTTTATGGTGGTTGATAACATGCTGGGGCATGTACATCCCTTATGGCTTAAACCAATCTGTTCAAACAAATCCCCCTCTTGTACTAGCCAATCACCCCTACCCAACTTGTTCCTGCCAGTGAATGTGCTAATCAACGTTAAGAGCTGTTGTTTGACTTTTCCGTGGTGTGAAATGATTTGCTGTGTGATATTGTGATGCATAGAGTATCCCCCAAAACCTATAAAATCTCACTGAACAAAGGACCAGGGCTCACTCCCTGGGACCACTGCATTGGAACAGTTGTGAGTCCAGGCTCGAGCTTGCAATAAAGACTCTTGTGTAATTGCATTGGATTCGGCTCCTGGAGGTCTACTGGGGTCCCACGAATCTGGCATTACACTATGAGTTCATCAATGGATTAGTCCACTGATGAGGTTGTCACCCCAAAGCCTCACTCTGCTGCACTGGGGACCAAGCCTTCAACGCATTAACCTTCAGGGAACATTCCAGATCTAAACCATAATAGTGCTCTAATTTGGATCTTAAACGCCCACTAAAGGCCCATGTGTTGGAGGCTTGTTCCTCAGCCAGTGGTGCTATCAGGAGACGGTACAGGCTTTAGTAGGTGGGACCTACTTGGAGGTCTCAGGTCACTGGGAATGTATCCTAAAAGGGTCTTCCACTGTCTTAGCTTCCTGGCCACCATAAGGTGAGCAGCTTGCTGCACCACTGGCTCCCTGTCATGATATGCGGCTCTGCCACAGACCACAAAGCAATAGGGCCAAACAATTGACCCTGACTGAAACCTGTAAAACTGTCACTCAATATATACCTTCTCTTTTTTATGTTGATTTCACAGATTCCACCCCCCACCCCCCCACACACTTTTTTTTTTTCCCAGTACAGGGGATTGAACACAGGGGCACTTAACCATGAACCACATCCCCAGCCATTTTTAAAAAGTATTTTTTCTAGAGATAGGGTCTTGCTGAGTTGCTCGGTGCCTCCCTAAGTTGCTGAGGGTGGCTTTGAACTTGCCATATTCCTGCTCAGCCTCCTGAGCTGCTGGGAGTACATGCATGCACCACCACACCCTGTGATTATCTCAGATTTTTAATTCCAGTAACAGCAAACTAACATATTAGGCTTGTTTTTCTGTGTAAAATTGTTGTTTTTTGGAGGACACCAAACACTCTTTACCATCTTTGCATCCATAGACTTAAATAGAATACCTATCATACATATCTGATGAATTGATTCATTTTGTTATACCATCCAAGATTAATAGTACCACCTTCAACAACAAAGTAATGTTGTAGCTGACCTTCAGACTAAAGCCTTCTAAATCAAATGAGATCATTACATTAAACTTGATAGAGCTCATCCATATGATGCTTTAAAAACCAACCAATTTCTATTTTAGGGCAGACTATGTGTCCCATTTAGATGAAATATTTATCTTGCCTTAATTTAAGCATATAGCTATGCAATATTTACTAATGTGTCCATTCTCTAACCTTGGACAAATTACATTATGTCATCTTGTAACCTTGGTTTCCAAATCAATAAAATGAGGAAAATTATAACATCAGAGGGTAGTTGTGAAGAAATACGGTAACACATGCTGATCATTAAGATAATGCTTTAAAAGAGGCATTTGATAAATGGTGGCCATTTTTAACTTTCAGAGAAATAGTAAAATAAATTTGTAACACAATTAAAGCATATTACTACACAAGTGTCTATGATGTTACCATCTTTGTGGGAAGCAATTTTTCTAAGATAATATATTTGTGATGAATCCTTACATCAACAAACAAGAAGAGTTAGGAAAGAAACAAGTACCCCTGTGGGTCCATCTCACAATGTCACAGCTAACATTTTACAAGGAAGGTATCAGAGTACACCTTATATATCCTTTAAGAAAAATTAAAGTATAATCAAACCTGTCTGTAAAGAACAGATTCCACTTACCATTTGCTCTTTTACTCATTATTCTCCATAACTGAGATACTGGCAAACTCTGATGCTTTATTAGAAAGAAATAATGTATCAATGTCTGAATTAGACAATTGTCTGAATTAGACAATTGAATTGCAGTTATGAAGAAAATGTTCTTGTTCTTAGGAAACACCTGCTGAAGTACTGAGGGATAAAGAGGCACGATGTCTACAACTGACTCTCAAATAACTGGTGGGGGGAGGGTATACATTTAGTGGAACAGAGAATAAACAACTGATGTAAAACATTAAGAAGCCACAGAAACTCTCTGGCCCTCAGTCTTCATTTAGAAGAGGGCTGTTTTATTCACACTGTGAGTGATGATACCCATCTACAAGTTAAGGTCAGCATTAGAAAAATGTTAGTCTGGATACTGGGTTTACATCACTTCTTGGTACTTATTCTTCAGTAACGTTTAGACCGTTTCAAGATCAAGACGAAAACACTTTCTAACTCAGTCGGCTGAGTGCAAGAGGCCCACGTGCTTCTCTCCAAAGCACAGAGCTGGGTGCTTTCAAGAGCTGGTTTATATTTGTACCCTAAAATAGCTATGCCTAGTAGAGTCTAATCAAATGTTTAAGCTAATGAAATATACAGTTATTGTTTCATGAAAATTCAATCCATAAAAAGTGAAAACAGGAAGTGGGTGGAATGGAGCAGACATTATCACCCTACACACACGCGTGCTCACCCTGCCCGTGTGACTGCACCAGGTTCAGGCAGAGCAAGGCGAAGCTGGGCTCCGTTTGTGTACAGTGTGTCAAAATGCATTCTGTTGTCACGTGTAATAACTAATTAAAACAACTTTTTAAAAATCTCAAAAAGTGAACAAGAAATTACTATAGAGCTAGACATGGGAAAGACAAACCGATACAACTCTGGGAAAATTTGCTCAAACCCCGAGCAGCTTGGCAGTCCACTTCCTGAGAAGTGTGTGAGTTTTGTTCTACTCTGAGGAAAGGAAACGGGAAGTCCCAAGCCTTGCGGATCACAATAACGGGAGGGAATGGATCCTGGGCTGCCAACTGCGAGCCCGGCGGAAAGACGGTCTCGGAGCTGCCTCCTAAGCCTTCCGCTGGGCCGGGCCGCCGGGCTGCGCAGCGCCACTTCCCGTCTCCCACGCCGCCCCGAGCCACCGGCGCACGGCCGACCCCGCGACCCCGGCGACGTCTCCCGGGCACGCAACTCCC